AATCAACAAAATAATTTGGGACATGTTTTGAGTTGATCTGAACATATTTTCTGTCCTTTGGGACAATTTTTTGGGTAGTCGAGGAAATTTTAAACCAATTTGGAAGCCGATCATTTTTGACGGGTTTCAAGTCAAACAAGTTTTGAGTCATTTTATGACATAGTTTGAGTCATTCTGGACAAATCTTGAGTTACTGTGGACACTTTTTTGGCATTTTTGACCATTTTTAACTCATTCTTATACATTTTGTACAAACTTAGAGTCAACTTGGACAAGTCTAATTCATTTTAGATAAGTATCAAGTACTCAGTCATTTTGGACAATTTTTAACTCATTTCTTGTGAACTTTGAGTCATTTTGGACTGTTGTCATGTTGGAATATTGCTCTTCTTCAAGCTTCTGAAAACTGGGAGTCATCTTGTCAGCCAGTATTTTGGTTCATCTGCAGACATTCATCTATAAATGTCATCAACACCTTTTGCACTCATGCAGCCTCATGTCATCACACTCCCACCTCTGAGTCCAACAACTTCATCTTGGTCTCTTCCAACCAAACAATGTTCTCCAACATACATCAAGTTTCATTTCAAGTTCTTTAGCAAAGCTTTGTTTTACACAGTTTTTCCAACATTACGATGTCATAATATGAGAGCGATGCTTCAAAATCTGCCTATAAGGACAAAATCATCACTGTGGCAGAAAACCACACAGCTGCTGCTGTTTTCAGTTCCTACATGTTGGCACCTCAGATGGAGTTGCAGTGAGTAATCAGAGTACAGGAAGAGTAATCTAACATTAATTTTGATGCACAGTGTAAAGTTTTCCAAGTATGAGCTGTATTATGGGCTCTATTTGGACGCTTTCACACTGTATGATAAATACGTCTTGAGGACGGTCCTGTTGGCTTTTCAGTAAATCAGTGCAGACATGATAAGTGTTTGTAGGAATGGACTTTTGTCCCAATAAGTTGGATGTCTGAGTGGTTTGATTCCCAGCACCACAAAGGAGACCAAGCAAGTGGTGCACATTGCCTTGACATGGGAGGCCACATCTTCTCTAATAACATTCAGCTTCCTAAACCACAAAGAGTTCATCAGTGAAGCAGCGTCAAAAAACAAACATAAAATAAAACCCACAGCAGTAAGTAAATTCTGCAGTACAATGTTTACTGAGATGACTGGGACCACGTCCAACTTTTATTGAAACTGAGAAGCTTCTTCAGAAATTCTTCATCTCTTCACCTAAAGTGTTGATGAATATTATCCACACATCTTGGCTACCTGTGTGCAGGTTTCAGGGGTTCAATGCCATAGTTTGCATGTTCCACATTATCATAGGTTGGTCAAACAGTGTGGACCTGGCACTGGTCTTGTCTTAGTCTTAGTACACTCTGGTCTAAGTCTTGACTTTGCCTCAGTTCCCCAAAGCCTTAGACTTGTGTCAGTGTTGATCCACTCTGGTCCTGGTTGTGTTTGCATCTCAGTTTCGGTGATCTTGAACACAACACTACAGTGAATGAAGCACAGAGGCAGCTGAGTTCCTGTTATATTTAGGGTCCGAGGACCCCTACTTGCAATGCAAGCAGGGGTCCTTGCCCTGCGGGCTTTAGAAACATTATCATCAAGAGGTATTTCTTTACAGTAGATGTTGCTGTTCTGACAGCAGAGTTGTTGTTTAAAACTTTAACTTCAACCTGCAGAAGAGAATCAAATACTGGTCTGATCACATCAAGTGCTTCTTGTTTCAGTGGATTTTGTTTCACATGATATCCACTCGTCCCTGTGGTACGTGTGCTGTGTAATGAAGCAGCATGAATTCAGCTGCATGTGTGTTTGTGTAAATGAGGTGAGTTGTGATGCACCACATCAGATTGGCAGCAGAGACCATAAACATACAGCAGTCTGGGCTGGATGTTACTATTTGTGTGGTTCTAGGTGATTTGGAAACCCTCGAAAGAGGAGATGATGACAAGATCTGTGTCCCTGCCTGAAGTTCACACAGAGAAATAATAAACCACAAATCACACCAAGTCACTGAGTCATAGAACAACATCCCTGTTTTCAATAAGTAATAAAGAAAATGAACAGAAAACATCCACTCCTGGTTTTCCTCATGTCTTCTTCAATTCAGTTCAGTCAAAACAACTCAAAGAATCCATTTCAGGTTTACCTGGTAACACAACGAACAGTAGATGGTGCAGGATGGAGGATGTGGACGAGACTTCTTAGAATAAACAGCAGACTTACAGGAATCAGCGTGTCAACAGCAGAAACAGCGGAAATAGCGGTTTCGTTCATTTCTTACTTTGACTTTCTATCTGTGATCTGATAATTCAGGCTGTGTTGTCAGGACTATATAAGATGTAAGTCAAAGTATTCAGGACACAACTTCAACCAGCAGCCTGAGATCAAACATGTCCAGCAGCAAAGCTCAGCGTGGTGAGTTTCTACAGCTTTAAACATTCTT